TCAACAGTTTCCTTTCTGAAACATAGTTCAGCTAGAATCATGTTTCTTGGAATAGTAGAAGCAGCAAAATACAAGACAAGACCAGACTCTGAAAAGAAAAGACAAACATTTTTGCCTCACTCCATCTACCCACACACACCCCTTTCAGCCAGCTCTCATGATTAGTCACAAACAGGTTTCATGCTTCCTCTGACCACCTCTGTTCCCCTGTGCTCCAAATTTGGCCTGCTATCTTGTTTTTGTATAATCTGCAAGTTAAGAATGGCTTTTGCATTTTTTAGCAAGTTGAAAAAAAAGCAAAAGATGGATAATATTTTATAATAAATGAAATTCAAGTTTCAGTATCTATAAATAAAGTTTTATTATAATAGAGCCATGCCTATTTGTAGGTGCATTGTTTGTGGCTTATTTCATGGACAGTGGTAGGCTTGAATAGTTGCACCAGAGACTCAAGTTTCCTCAAGACCAGAAATATCTATTATCTGGTGTTTACAGAAAAAGTTTGCAACCTCTGCTTTAGACACTTCAATACCAGGGTAACTTGGGAGCAGCAGAGATCACCACAAAGTTTGGGGAGAAGGAAAACAGCAGATCACATTGAAGACATAGACCATCTCTAAACATTTAAAGAAAGTTTGGAGAAAGGGTTCAGGTAGTTCCAAAGATCAGACTAGACGAAGGGAAGTTAGGCCAATTTCAAAGTATTCAAAAAATAGAACCAAAAGTTACTAATAAAAATCGCTACTCAGGGAGCATGACTTAAAATATTGTAGATGATAGTTGGGTTGGATAATTTCTCATGTCACTCTAACCCTCAGATTCTATGTTTCTCCTAGTCTATGTGGACCTATCTTAGCACCTGAGTAATTCAAATAAATATGAGCTTCATAAAATGTGAATGTGCCGATAAGAAACCATCTTTTGGGGGCTGGCCCCGTGGCCGAGTGGTTAAGTTCGCGCGCTCCGCTGCAGGCAGCCCAGTGTTTCGTTGGTTCGAATCCTGGGCGTGGACATGGCACTGCTCGTCAGACCACGCTGAGGCGGCGTCCCACATGCTACAACTAGAAGAACCCACAACGAAGAATACACAACTATGTACCGGGGGGATTTGGGGAGAAAAAGGAAAAAATAAAATCTTTAAAAAAAAAGAAAGAAACCATCTTTTGACCGGTAACAACCACATTAACTTTTCCTCCCTTTTTTTCCAAAACTTGTTTTTGGAAGAGAAAAGAAATCACAGATATGAAATCATCAACAAGCCCTGTTAAGCCCCATAGAGTTTGTTTGACCTGATGGTTCAAAATTGAAAAAAGCTAGAAACAAAGGGAGTTTTCCAGGAAATCAATCATGGATATCAAGCTTGTCTTGTCACAGGGGTGCTATTACAATATTCCCCAAGCTAAAGGTCTCACATACTATAATTGACTCTGGGGACAATAAAAGAAGTAACAGAACATAAGAGAAACCAACCTTAGCAGTTACCTTCAGGGGGAACTCTTCCCCAGTTCATAAGGAAACTGGAAGAGGATATCTACGAATAGGCAGGTAAATAATAAATCAAGTTTCAGTAGTTTAGTCCTTCCTTTTGATCCAGACAGAACTGACTAACTGGGTCATCTGCCATGAGCCCTTCACAGTAACTACTCCTGATGCCATGGGATCCAAAACCACTGAAGTCTCTCTAGGAACAGAGTTACATCTCTTCTCTTAGATTGCAAAAGGATTTTCTGTGGATGCTGAAGCCTCCAGGAGAAGGTGATTCTCTCTCCCCCAAGTAGCACCTACCATTGTCCTATCCCATTTTCCAGAGCTAAATGTCACCTATAGGGCTTGATCACTGGTGTGGAAAAGTGCTGAAAAAAAGGGAAGATATTCCCAAATACAGATGACAACAGAGTAAGTTTCAGATATAGATAAATGTTGGATCCAAACACTGTGCACTCCACTTTCAGTCACTTCATCTCTAAATATTTTCCTTTATTTAACTATTCCATATATTTCTCTTCTCCTCTCACAGAAATTTTTTTTTACTGTTCTGATAAGTCTGACTATACAGCTACCATTTAGCCTGTTTATATGGGGATGACCCTCTCACCACTAGCCTTTCATTGGCTACATCTTTCTCCAAAGCTACCCTTCTGCAGAGGTTCTTTCCCTGCCTGGCTTCCATGCCAAACAGAGAAGGTAAGAGCATCTGAGAGTTCTGTGGTGGTTCCATCTTTGCTCCTTGCTCTTTGATCCTTGCCAGGTCCCTCCTCTAACCTATAAGATAAGTTCTTTGCCCGAAATTTGAAGGATGATTGTGAGTAAAACTGTAATCAGACTGTTTTAGTGAATACTTTAAACAGACAGTTCAAAGTCATTGCTAATAAGGGTTTTATATTTTAGTGGAAACTTTTAGTCTTACTTCTTGGACTTAGTACCTCAATTTTTTTCATCACATTGTATATATGTATTTATCCATTCCAATGTTACTCCTCTTTAGATTATTTTCAGTTTTACATCTTATTGAAAAATTCAGAAAATGTCAATAGATATGTTTTCCAAATATTTGAGATGCTTCTTATAAATTAAAAGAAAGTGTGCTTTCAGATGATTATCAAAAAACAATAAATTTTTTTGAAGTTTTCATCATGAGATGGGTGAACTAGAGTTAGGTATGTATTTGGGACCAGAATTAAGCAAAACTCGTATGCTGGAATGGGGTCAGCACTGTGCCCTTTGCCTCATTAGAAAAATGCCTAATCCCCTGGGCAAATCAGTCGCTAACAATTTTTAATGGTCAGCATTATAGCTGTATAGCCAATTTGTGGTCCACTAATGATTCCCATATCTTTTTCAAACATGCTTGTACTAGATGAATTTTATATTTGATATCAGATCACAATTCTAAAACACACTGCATCAATACTTTCACAGTTTAAGTCTTTGTAAAATGAAAACACTGCTAAGCCTCCAGGCAATGGTCTACTTTTTAAAGAAATGCTGAGTGTGGTAGAATGCCAGACAATGAAAGGAAATGTACCACTTCATGGATTCATGGTAACAAAATTTGACATTGTCTGATTTTAGAACTTGTACTTAATTCTAATATATCTAGGTTTAGAAATAGAGTAGCAGCACCAGTTTAGAATCTTCAACAGAATGAACCATCAAACTCTTAAAATTATTATTCAGATCACAGATAAAGCTATGGCCTTAGGACACCGAGGAATAATATTGCCTATGAATTTTTTAAACTCCTTATTTAGCAACCTGAAATAACATGATTTACTAAGTTATTTTGGCTCATTTATGGGAAGAAATGTAAGAAAAATGTAGAAAGAGTACTTGACTGGAATCCATAAAATGTAGCTAGATTTCTTAGTCTAGAACTATGCAGCCATGGGACTCCTCTGTCATTCAACCCTAAGGACCATGAGAACACTATGCAGATGTTCCATGAGTTCATAACACCCTAGTCCACTGAGGTTTCATCAGTGTCATATTTCTTTCTCTTTGAGCCGTGTTTTTCTCTCTCTCTCCAGTTTTATTATGGAAAGGATTTAAGTCATCTCAGAGCCACATCTGGGATATTAATAAATCGGAATAAGTAGAAGAGTGTTCACCCAGTGAATACTAAGCTTCACGCTTGTTGATCTATGGTAATGGCAGTGGCACAAGGAAGATGGTCTTGACAGATGAGGGTAAGGGAAGTTGTCCTATTAATCTTTATAACTACATGGGGAAGAAAAATTGTTAATGAAAAGCAGAGAGGAAAGCTTAATTGCAACTGGAATGAGATGACACCTCATAAAGACAGTATTACAAATAGGGTTACATCCGTCCCCTCATCCCTCCCATTAAGATGGCTCTAAAATCTAAGGGTAAGATTAGGAAATATTATTCTCTCTAGTTGAATTAAGAATCAGTACACTATATCCCTATCTACAGGAAATTTCCCAAAAGAAATAAAAATTCCTAGAGAGTAATTCAGGAAACAGAGAACATTCTCTAATGCAAACAAGAAAACAGTATGGAAAACAAATGAGGAAAAAATCATTGAGGGACTCTAAAAATTTAGGAAAATGTGTTGAAGAAAGTCATTGGAAACAATAAAGGAAATATAAAAGAGGTATTGACTCAGGGAGAAAATAATTAGAGTAAAACTTTGTCAATGTATCCCCACTACTGCCCAGAAGAAAAAGATATATCTGAAGGGAAGATTGAAGTATTCCCTTAGACAAAGGTACTGTGTAATTTACCAGGTGTAATTCATTGAGACTTATTGCAGCCTAAATCGTGTGCTCCATCAAATTCCCTTTGCTCTGATTCAAGACAGAAATATACATCTGATTCCTAATTTGATTTCCAGAGACCTTGATATTAGTAAGTGGTTGCCCTTGGTAGTAAACACACCAATTTAGTCATGGGAGTGAGATCTCCCACTATAAATTAACAAATTGGTGGTTTGGTTTACAAGTCATTCTCTCAGGTATTTGAACAGCGTGAATTGATTTCCCAATGCCTGATTCCTCTAGGGATACCTGACAAAATCAGGCTTCTAAATCTGCAGAGTTTAACCTCAGACTTTTGTAACCCCAGAAAAGTAAAGCATCCTATGACAACCAGACCAGAGCAGCCACCTGAGCTCATTCAGGCCAGGACTGCTGCCAGGCACGGTCGTGAATTTCTTAAGGAACTTGTATGGGAACTTAAACCCTCTTCACTTTCTGATGTTGAGAAGTGGAAGGAAGAGGCCAGTGTCTGTAGCCCTGGCATCTAGAAGAGCTCTGTGGTCAACCATCCCTGCTTTCCTGAAACTAAAATATTTAAAACTGAAAAATTGGCCAGTCCTGTGGCTTAGTGGTTAAGTTCTCATGCTATGCTTCAAGAGGTTTTGCCAGTTTGAATCCTGGGCGCAGACATGGCACTGCTCATTAAGCCATGCTAAGGCGGCGTCCCACATGCCACAACTAGAAGGACCCACAACTAAAAATACACAACTATGTATGGGGGGCTTTGGGGGAAAAAAATAAAAATAAAATCTTTAAAAAAAAAAAGAAAAATCACAACTAGTATTCCATTCACTTGAAAAAGGGCAGCACAACAGGGGGTGGAAGGATTTACTGCTTCTCTTTTTAAACTCTATAAGAGATGGTTAAATAATGAGAGGTAAGCTTTGATAAAGCATGGATACAGCAGGTTTAAAGTTAAGTGCCTAATGTAAAGATTATTGAGTATAACTACCCATTATTGGTCACTGTTTGCCAGAATTGGGTCCAGAGTTGCATTCCCCATCCTCATAGACTCAATAAGGAAACGAAAACCCAGGGGAGCTGTGAAACTTGCTTGGAATCAATAGGCAAGCTCTTGACCCAGATTCATTATAATATTCATATTTAGGGTTTTCAGCCAGCAGCAGGACCATCTGTCCATGATGTCTTACTCAAGGGCTGCCAGTTCCCAGCTCTTCTCATTCACTTGAACCAGAACATAGGAGTGAAGGTAGAAGGAATCATTAATCAGAGAGCTCCTGAAATTTCCTGTTAATCTCACTCCCTTTCTTCTGAGTAAAGTGAATCATTCCAGAGAAAAATCAATCAACCCATTGCAATTTGTTTGCCATCCCACCTTAAGCCACGAATGTAGACAGTAGAGAACCATACAACTAGGAGAAATTTTAAAAGCTCATTAATCCAACCCTTTTCTTCCAGTGGGGAAATACCAATCAAGGGATTAAACTAAGAACTTAAAATAACTCTTCCACACTGACAGCTATTTCCTCTGCTCTAGCCATCCTCTCATCGTCTCTAATCATCTTTGGTTTTTCTTTAATCTCTGATGTCTCACCATGACCATCCCTTTTTGCTTCCTCCTCTCCTCTCTTCCTTTACCATGTTCCAAGACTAAAGTATTATACACAAAGAAACTGAAATACACAGCACTAAGTACCAACCACAACTTTACTTATATGCTTGCAGCCTCATGGGCATTCTCTTCCCTTAATTGTGAAGAACTTGGAGACTAGGCTTGTACAACATCAACACTGTCCCAAACAGCTAGCCATGTAATCAAAATTCTATTCCATTCTTTCTACTACAAAGGAGGAAAAGGAATTTTCTCATTTCCTTTCTGCATACTCTCCACTCTATGTAAGTTTACATTCTAGAAAAGATAAGAATGAGCCAGTAGCCTCTGGAAGTTTCTGAACTGGCAGAGCATCTAGCAAAGCAAATGTCCTCTCCCACACACGTTTCCAGTAAACCCCTAATCTCTGGCAAAAGTGCTCTAGGTGCAAACTCCTGGGAGCAAACGTTTTCTGTAAAGATTTCTGTAAATATTTTAGGCTTTGAAGGACAAATGCAGATACTCACTTCTGCCATCATAGCACCAAAGCAGCTACAGACAATATGAAAGTAAATGAGCAGGGCTGTGTTCCAATAAAACTTAATTTACAAATCAGGCCAACTCTTGCCATAAAACATACTTTCTCCCTATAAATCATCTCTCCACTAGAGAAAGAACCTTCTTTTCTCTGGTTCCTCATCATTTCCCTCTCTCCTCCACGCTAACTCTTGTTTTGCCCATTCTCTAGGTAAGATCTCTCCAGAGGATGGAAAGAGTCAATAGCACATTGTTGACTGAGTTCATCCTGACAGGAATTCTCTACCCACTCAGGTTAAGGACATTTCTTTTTGTGTTCTTTTTGCTAATCTACATCCTGACTCAGCTAGGGAACCTGCTTATTGTAATCACTGTCTGGGTAGACCCGCAGCTCCATGCCCGCCCCATGTACATCTATCTTGGTGTTCTCTCCATCATCGACATGGGCATCTCTACCATCATTGTCCCTCGTCTCATAATGAACTTCATTTTAGGCATCAAACCCATCTCGTTTGGTGGCTGTGTCGCTCAACTCTATTTCTATCACTTTTTGGGCAGCACTCAGTGTTTCCTGTACACATTGATGGCCTATGATAGGTACTTGGCAATATGCCAGCCCCTGCGCTACCCTGTTCTCATGAATGCCAAGCTGAGCACCTTGCTTGTGGCTGGAGCTTGGGTTGCAGGATCCATCCATGGAGCTCTCCAGGCCACCCTAACCTTCCGTCTGCCCTACTGCGGGCCCAACCAGGTAGACTACTTCTTCTGTGACATCCCTGCAGTTCTGAGGCTGGCCTGTGCTGATACAACAGTCAACGAGCTGGTGACCTTTGTGGACATTGGGGTGGTAGTTGCCAGTTGCTTCTCTCTGATCCTCCTCTCCTATATACAGATCATTCAGGCCATCCTGAGAATCCGCAGAGCTGATGGGCGGCACCGGGCATTTTCAACCTGTGGAGCCCATGTAACCGTGGTAACCGTGTACTATGTGCCCTGTGCCTTCATCTACCTGAGGCCTGAAACCAACAGCCCCCTAGATGGGGCAGCTGCCCTATTCCCCACAGCCATCACTCCTTTTCTCAACCCCCTCATTTACACTCTACGGAACCAAGAGGTGAAGCTGGCTCTGAAGAGAATGATAGGAGTCCTTGGGACTAAGAGTAAGGTTTGAAAGTGTCTGTCTCACATTAGGGAAACCTTCACATTTACGATTTATTCTAATGTTTACATTTCGGTGAGTTTTGTTCTTCTTGCTTTTTCTCTTTTATGTAGCCATATAATATCAATACAACAAGATCAAACAGAGGTTGAAGTAAAATACTACTTTATAGCAGTCCTTAGTGTCACCTTCAGATAAACAACTCTCGGCTGCTCCGAGAGTAGAGACTAAGACTAAAACCACTCAGAAGATAGCAAGAGCTGGCACACTTGGACTTTCAGAAGTTTGGTACACCAACAGCATCCAATGGGCTTTTCAGCTTTTAGGCTGACATTGATCAAGCCCTCATAAGATGGACTATAGTTCTTTTGACGGGACAGTGTTCTTCGGTTCTGTTTCAATTGGCTGTATACCTTAGGAGCTAGTGCTAGAAGAGAAACTATAGATGCCCTGCTGCATGCATCTGACAAGCTCGGCTTTGGGGACTTCCTGAGACTACTATAGAAAGTGAAGAGGAACTAAAGTGCATACTCTTCCTTGCCTGCTAAAGACAGGAACCTTCTCTTAAACTGGTGCTTTCACAAACTAAACCGAATTAAACAATCCAAGAAAGAGATTGCAATACAGTCTTTTCAAATGTGTCAATAATAAAATCCCTCACACCAAAAAGTAAAGGTCAGTGTGAATTTTCCCATTAAAAGAAAATAGGGCAATTAATCAAGACACCAGGATAATTTATCCGAATTAGTATTTCGTATGAATTTAGATTCATGAGGTTGACAAGCTTTCATTGAGTTGGCCAGTGCTTAATCAATATGGGCAAATTTTCTGCAACATCACTGGTTTCAACCCCTTAACGCCTTTACTCTTATCCTCTTATGCTTCTGCCTCATTCTCCAGCTTCTTATACTGGATGGTTGCTTTATCCACATTGTGAAAGCATGTTTTCTATAAAACAAAGTCTCTTGGTCATAGCAGGGAGTTAACAGTTTGGTCAAGTGTATGTTCACCTTGAAAGGACTCACAAGTTCGCCTAATTGGTAAGGAGACAGAAAACTTACCATTCTCCCTTAGATGAAGGTGAACCACACAATTTTCAATATTTTGTTCAGAAAACAATCAATACACTAAATATCAACTACCTCAAACTAGAATATTACTTACGAAATATCTAATCTTTCAAAATATTTAATTAAAAAAATGGTTGAATAGCGAATTACAAAAATAACCTTAAATCTACAGCTTGCAAACCAAAGACATTTCAAAGGCTATTATACATCTTGTTCCTGTTTTTCCATGTGCTTAGCATAATTGCTATCATAGCTATTGTCTTGAGAATTAATAAAATGAGGTTAAAATAATCTGTAAACATATAATAAAAATACAGATCAAGGGCCAGCCCCAGTGGTGTAGTGGTTAAGTTTGGTGTGCTCTGCTTCCACAGCCATGGTTCAGTTCCCAGGCATAGACCTACACCACTCGTCAGTGGCCATGCTGTGGCGGCAGCCCACATACAAAATAGGGGAAGATTGGCAACAGATGTTAGCTCAGGGTGAATCTTCCTCAGCAAAAAAACAAAATAATAGATCAAAATTGAATCATTTTGAAGCAAACATTTGTTTAAAAAGTAGATTGGGCACTGTTATGATTTGTTAAATTAACACTTATTAAGTGGAGCACAGGGTGCTGGATGGTAAAACATGGTTCAACAATAGACCACAACAGGAATTGAAATAAAGAAGTTTATTACAGGTCCTAGAAGTATCTGGCATGCCTCCAGGGGCTCCATGGGGAGGTCAAGGCAGAGCACAGACAAAGAGAGGCAGGACCTGGGGCACATGTCTTTATTCAGGTCCATGGGTGGAATGTTTTGGGATTCTGAGGCTAAGCCTGGATTGATCAATTCAAACCAAAGGAATATGATTTTGATAAGTAACATGGGGGTCTTATCTAAGGGGCCCATAAAAGAAAGACACTAGGAGGCAAAGACTATTGATCACAAGAGCTGTTGAGGAAGTCATATCAGGGCCTTATATTTGCTTGTGACTCTGAGGGCTGCTCTCTAGAGCATGTGCTTGCATGAGGGGGCTAGTGCCCCTGTAAGGGTCACTGCAGGCTGCTTAGCCATTGTACTTTAGAGTGTACAATGGTACAGTCACTATGGAGAACAATATGGCCGTTCCTAAAAAAATTAAAAATAGAATTACCAAATGCTCTAGCAATCCCATTTCTGGGTACACACCCCAAAGAATTTAAAGCAGGGTCACAAGAGATATTTGTACACCCATGCTCACAGCAGCATTATTCACAATAGCCAAAAAGTAGAAGCAACCCAAGTGTCCGTCGATGGATGAATGAATAAACAAAATGTGGTATATACAAGCAGTGGAATATATTTAGCCTTAAAAAGAAAGGAAAGTCTGACACATGTTATAACATGGATGAATGTTTAAGACCTCATGCTAAGCGAAATAAGCCAATTACAAAAAGACAAATACTACGTGATTCCACTTACATGAGTTACCTATGTAGTCAAATTTATAGAAACAGAAAGTAGAATGGTGGTTGCCAGGGGCTGGGCGGATGAGAGAGTTATTGCTTAATAGGTATAGAGCTTCAGTTTGCAAGATGAAAGGAGTTCCAGAGATTGGTTGCACAAAAATGTGAATATACTTAACACTATTAAACTGTACACATAAAAATGGTTAAGCTGGTAAATTTAATGTTATATGTATTTCACCAGAATTAAAAATAAATTTAAAAATCTAGTAAGGCAAAGGGAAACGGGAGGAAGGAAGAGGGAGGCAGATGAAAAAGATAAGCGATATGTTCATTGAAGCTGGCTTAACATCAGGTTTCAATTCTACTATTCTCATTACTCACGTACGTTTGGAAATTTCCATAATAAAATATTTTTTTAAAACCATTGCCATGAAAACCTCAGGAAAGTGTTTTCCAAAGAGAAGGAAAGGCTAGTACAAGGCTCTCGGATGGGAGTTTGGAATGTTTGAAAGGAAAGCAGATGTTGTTGAAGTGTGGGGGGCAGGGCACACGATTACACCAAAGGCGCAGGCAAAGCTCAGATCATGTAAAACCTTGGAAACTATGTAAGAAGTTTGGATTGAATCTAATATGATGGGCAATATGTTAGTTTTCTATTGCTGCATCACAAGTTATCACAAACTTAGCAGCTTAAAACAAAGCCCGCTTATTAGCTCTCAGTTTTATAGGTCAACAATCCAAGCACAACATGACTTGGTTCTCTGCTCAAGATCTCAGAGGGCTAAAATCAAGGTGTCCCTGAGCTCTGTTCTCATCTAGAGATCAGGGTTGTCTTCCAAGCTCACATGGTTATGGCAGAATTCAGTTCCTTGCAATTACAGGACTTAGGTCCCTGTTCCCTTGCTGGCTGTCTGTAGAGGGCACCCTCTGCTACTAGGGGCTGCCAAATTCCTTGCCACATGGCTCCCTCCATCTCTAAAGCCAGCAACAGAGAATCTCCCTCATTGGGAATTCCTCCCATGCTTCAAATCTCTCTCTCCACAAAGAATCCTATCCTGTTTAAGGGTTCACGTGATTAAGTTAGGACTACAAAGGATAATCTCCCTATTGAAAGATCAACTCGGTAAAGAGAGACACAGAGGGACAATATATAATGATCAAAGGGACACTTCATCAAGAAGAAATAACGCTTATAAATATCTATGCACCCAACACAGAAGCACCAAGATTCATAAAGCAACTATTAACAGACCTAAAGGAAGATGTTAAAAACAACACAATAATAGTAGGGGACCTCAACACCCCACTCACATCAATGGACAGATCATCCAGACAGAAAATCAACAAGGAAATAGTGGAGCTAAACAAAAAACTAAAACAATTGGACTTAATAGACATATATAGATCACTTCACCCTAAAAGAGCTGAATACACATTCTTCTCAAGTGCACATGGAACATTCTCAAGGATAGACCATATGTTGGGAAGCAAGGCAAGCCTCTACAAATTTAAAAAAATTGAAATAATAACAAGCATCTTCTCAGATCATAGTGCTATAAGGCTAGAAATTAATTACAAGAAAAAAGCTGAGAAAGGCACAAAGATGAGGAGACTAAACAGCACACTACTGAACAAGCAATGGATCATTGAAGAAATTAAAGAAGAAATCAAAAAATACCTGGAAACAAATGAAAATGATAGCATGCCATACCAACTCATATGGGATACAGCAAAAGCTGTATTAAGAGGAAAGTTCATCCCAATACAGGCACATCTTAACAAACAAGAAAAATCCCAAATAAGCAATCTTAAAGTACACCTAACTGAACTAGAGAAAAAAGAACAAATAATGCCCAAAGTCAGCAGAAGGAGAGAAATAATAAAAATCAGAGCAACAATAAATACTATTGAAACGAAAAAGGCAGTAGAAAGGATCAATGAGACAAAGAGCTGGTTTTTTGAGAAGATAAATAAAACTGACAAACCACTAGCCAGACTTACAAAGAAAAAAAGGGAGAAAGCTCAAATAAACAAAATCAGAAATGAGCGAGGAGAAATAACAACAGACTCTGCAGAAATACAACAGATTATAAGAGAATACTACAAAAAACTATATGCCAACAGAATGGATAACCTAGAGGAAATGGATAAATTCTTGGACTCCTACAATCTCCCAAAGCTCACTCAAGAAGAGGCAGACAATTTGAACAGACCAATCACAAGGAAAGAGATTGAAACAGCAATCAAAAACATCCCAAAGAATAAAACCCCAGGACCAGATGGCTTTCCTGGGGAATTCTACCAAACTTTCAGAGAGGATTTAATACCTATCCTTTTCAAGCTATTCCAAAAAATTAGGGAAGATGGAACACTTCCTAACACATTCTATGAGGCCAACATCACGCTGATACCAAAACCTGACAAGGACGCCACGAAAAAAGAGAACTACAGGCCAATATCACTGATGAACATAGATGCAAAAATTCTCAACAAAATTTTGGCAACCAGAATTCAGCAATTCATCAAAAGGATCATACATCATGATCAGGTGGGATTCAGACCAGGGACACAGGGATGGTTCAACATCCACAAATCAATCAAGGTGATACACCACATCAACAAACTGAGGAATAAAAACCACATGATCATCTCAATAGATGCAGAGAAGGCATTTGACAAGATCCAACAGCCATTTATGATGAAAACTCTGAACAAAATGGGCATAGAAGGAGACTACCTCAACATAATAAAGGTCATATATGACAAACCCATAGCCAACATCATACTCAATGGGCAAAAACTGAACGCCATCCCCCTGAAAACAGAAACGAGACAAGGATGCCCTCTATCACCACTCTTATTTAACATAGTACTGGAGGTCCTGGCCAGAGCAATCAGGCAAGAAAAAGGAATAAAAGGAATCCAAATAGAGAGGGAAGAAGTGAAACTCTCGCTGTTTGCAGACGACATGATCTTATGTATAGAAAACCCCAAAGAATCCATTGGAAAACTCTTAGAAGTAATCAACAACTACAGCAAAGTTGCAGGGTACAAAATCAATTTGCATAAATCAGTAGCATTTCCATACTCCAATAACGAACTAACAGAAAAAGAATTTAAGAACACAATACCATTCACAATCGCAACAAAAAGAATAAAATACCTTGGGGTAAATTTAACTAAGGAAGTGAAGGACCTATATAATGAAAATTACAAGGCCTTTCTGAGAGAATTGGATGACGACATAAGGAGATGGAAAGACATTCCATGTACGTGGATTGGAAGAATAAACATAGTTAAAATGTCCGTTCTACCTAAAGCAATCTACAGATTCAATGCCATCCCAATCAGAATCCCAATGACACTCTTTACAGAATTAGAACAAAGAATCCTAAAATTCATATGGGGCAACAAACGACCTCGAATTTCTAAAGCAATCCTGAGAAAAAAGAACAAAACGGGAGGCATCACAATCCCTGACTTCAAAACATACTACAAAGCTACAGTAATCAAAACAGCATGGTACTGGTCCAAAAACAGGTGCACAGATCAATGGAACAGAATTGAAAGCCCAGAAATAAAACCACACATCTATGGACAGCTTATGTTTGACAAAGGAGCTGAGGGCATACAATGGAGAAAAGAAAGTCTTTTCAACAAATGGTGCTGGGAAAACTGGAAAGCCACATGTAAAAGAATGAAAATTGACCATTCCTTTTCACCATTCACCAAAATAAACTCAAAATGGATCAAAGACCTAAAGGTGAGACCTGAAACCATAAGGCTTCTGGAAGAAAACGTAGGCAGTACACTCTTTGACATCAGTATTAAAAGGATCTTTTCGGACACCATGCCTTCTCAGAGAAGGGAAACAATAGAAAGAATAAACAAATGGGACTTCATCAGACTAAAGAGCTTCTTCAAGGCAAATGAAAACAGGATTGAAACAAAAAAACAACCCACTAACTGGGAAAAAATATTTGCAAGTCATATAGCTGACAAAGGTTTAATATCCATAATACATAAAGAACTCTCACAACTCAACAACAAAAAATCAAACAACCCAATCAAAAAATGGGCTGGAGACATGAACAGACATTTCTCCAAAGAAGATATACGGATGGCCAATAGGCACATGAAAAGATGCTCATCATTGCTGATGATCAGGGAAATGCAAATCAAAACTACACTAAGATATCACCTTACACCCATTAGAATGACAAAAATATCTAAAACTAATAGTAACAAATGTTGGAGAGGTTGTGGAGAAAAAGGAACCCTCACACACTGCTGGTGGGAATGCAAACTGGTGCAGCTACTATGGAAAACAGTATGGAGATTCCTCAAAAAATTAAAAATAGAACTACCATACAATCCAGCCATCCCACTACTGGGTATTTATCCAAAGAGCTTGAAGTCGGCAATCCCAAAAGTCCTATGCACCCCAATGTTCATTGCAGCATTGTTTACAATGGCCAAGACATGGAAGCAACCTAAGTGCCCATCAACAGACGATTGGATAAAGAAGATGTGGTACATATATACAATGGAATATTATTCAGCTGTAAAACAGAACAAAATCATTCCATTTGCAGTAGCATGGATGGACCTTGAGGGAATTATGTTAAGTGAAATAAGCCAGCGAGAGAAGGATAATCTGTGTATGACTCCACTCATATGAGGAATTTAAAATTATGGACTAAGAACAGTTTAGTGGATACCAGGGGAAAGGTGGGGTGAGGGGTGGGCACAAAGGGTGAAGTGGTGCACCTACAACCTGACTGACAAACATTAATGTACAACTGAAATTTCACAAGATTGTAACCTATCATTAGCTCAATAAAAAAAAATGGAAAAAAATAGTAATAATATTCCAAACAAATTATAAAATAGGTATACAGTTTAAGCATAACAAAGGTTTAAATGAGGAGATATAAGGTTGGGAAAACAGGCCTGGTCCGGAGTCTTGGGACAGCTGTCTACAACAGATGCCGTCTTCTTCTCCTCCTGATATTGTCCTTTTCAACAGGGCTGCAAACAGTCTTATTTGATGTCTCTTTCAAGAAATAAATTCTTCAGGTAAAAAAAAAAAAAAAAAGAAAGATCAACTCATTTGGGACCTTAATTTACATCTGCAAAATCCCTTCACATCAGCACCTAGAAAGAATTTTGATTGTGTTTGATTGAATAACTGGCAGAAAGTGTGTACACTAGAGGGAAAAAATCTGGGAAGCCATCCTAGGCAGATACTTAAAATCTTCTCAACTTTCTCAATTTTCATACATAAAACTGTTACTGGACCAGGTTCGGTTTTGCCGACCACCCAGAAAGCCAAACACGGAGACGATGAGATTGCAGCAGGAAGAGAGTTTAATCACAAGGCAGCCATGTGAGGAAGCAAGAGCCTGAGTCTCAAATCTGCTTCCCAAAAAATAGGGACTTAGGGATATTTATGGGATAGGGGGGCAAGGTGGTCAGCAATGTGGAGATAGGTGATTGGAGGTGAGGAGAGGTGAGGTAATTGATCTGCACAAGTGTAGTCAGACTCCATGCCTCTTCATAGGACCCATGTTCACAAAGTGATGGCGTTAGCATGATTTGATGGTGGAGTTTTTAGCCTCTTGACGTCAAAAGGTCATGTAACAGACATCTGCGTGTGCCCAGTTGATGAGTTGGTGGTCTCAACCGGACTGAAGTGGACAAGGAGTTCTAATTCATGAGAAACAGCTCACCCACCCATTACCATGGTGACCCAGGCTCCAGGGAGATGTTATCTACCTGAATGCAGTGGGAATCAGACAGCATATTGCCTAAACAGCACAGGTAACAATGGGAGGGTTAAACAGCTAAAAGCTATAATCAGTAATTGCAAAAAGGAAAAAAATCTTTAGTTCCTAGCTACTTAATCATCAATGACTCACTCTCTGCTGGTTTCAAAACTTTCTCCATTTTCATAAAATGGATGATTTTCTAAAAATCAGCTGCAAGAGATGCAGTTACCAGCCTCCAGCTCCAGAGTCTCTGGGACACTGCAGCCTCAGAACCACACTATCCCCAGAAAACGACTGAACCCAGTGGGGACACTAGAGTCAGGCTATTTCCGCCCAACTCCACTTTAGGCAGTCTCTGCCCTGGACCTCCCACTGGGCCACCTGAGACTTTCTCAGAACTGCACTGCAGTCTGAGAGTCTTCCTACCCGGTCTTCCTTCCTTATCTCTCTGGACTGGCTGTTCTGACTGAATCTTAGAGTCTGCTTCCCAGAGAAACTGAATTAAAATACCCGGCCATATAGAAACTTGCAATTAAACAACACCACACAGAAATTTCAATGTCATCTTTCCTTTTCTGAGAGGTGAAGTTTTCTTTTTTCACTGGGAGATGTACGCTGGCCTATTTCTTTCCAGAAAGGAAATCCCAGTGGCGCGTCCATGATTGCCACACCAGGGATGTGCTCCATTCTGCAATTTTGGGGATGCCTTCTTGCCCCATTTACTATCCATTGTCCACCTAAGACTATGGTAGTAAGTGTAATTCTTCTATCATTGTCTTTCTAGTAGGCTGAGATTTGTGTCTGTTTTGTCCACCACTGAATCTCCAGAAGAGAGCCTGGAACCATAGCAGATGCTGCATGAGTATTTGTTGAATTAGTAAATTAATATAATTAGATCTCTTGCCCCAGTACTTTATAAAAGGAGACTATTAGAACCCCTGCCCTTCCCTCCACCTCTTCTTTGCCTTGCACCTCCCAATTCTGTCATCTGTACTTTTTAATTGCCTGAGTTGATAATATTTATATTCTATACCATAACCATCAGTAGATCTTGTGTTTATGGTGATTCCAAATATGGAAGACCATTAAAAAGCATTTACCTAAAGAGTATTACATTATGACTGTGTGTATATTGTTCAAACGTTAAGAATGCTGTGACTACACATCCCACTTGGTTACCTTTCTTGCTTTCTTGCTTTCCATGCCTCTATCCTGGAGTTTTTACAAACTTTTAATCTTTATATCTATTCTAATGATTCTTTTTCCTAGAGAACTCCGTTTGAGTCCTCTCCCCTCCATTCAGTCTGTTCTAATCGCTCTCATGACCTTCCACAACTAGCATTACTGGGGTCTTTCCTCTAGATTGGATCCTCTGTTACCTGAATTCTATATCTTAATCTTTTTTATTTTTCATGCTCGTTTTTATAGACTAGATCTTAGAATAGCTTCCTAAGAAACAATATATAAATTGTAAAACTTCTGAATCTTGACATCTAAAAATGTCTTTAGTCTGCTTTACATTTGACTAAATATTTGGTTGAGTATGGAATTCCAAGCTGAAAATCACCAATGTCTTTGAAGACCTTGTTTTAGTTGTCTTCTAGCAGCCAGTGTTGCTAACCAGAGCTCTGATGCTAATCTAATTCTCATTGTTTTGTGGGCCTCTCTAGAGGCTTTTATAATCTCCTTTATATCTTCAATATTCTGAAATTTTACGTGTCGAAACCCTATTTAATTTCTTCTTCTCTGACTTTAGTAAACACTTTGAATTTGAAATTTTGTGTCTCCCTTCAGCTCTGAGAAATTTTATCTTATTATATCCTTGATAATGTCCTCCCCTCTGTTTCATTTGTTCTCCCTAGAATACCTGTTAATCAAATGTTAGACTTCCAGGATTCATCCTCTACATCTTTTGGTTTCTTCTCTCATATTTGTCATCTCTGACTTTTTATTCTATCTCCTTGGAGATTTACTTGATTTTATCTTCCTCATCCAATAAAATTTTCTGTTCAACAGTCACATTTTCATTTCCAAGAATTATTTCTGATTCTCTGATTATTCTGTATCACATCATACATGTTCTTGTTTTATGGCTATAATATCTTCTTCACAAATTTGCATGTCATCCTTGCTCGGGGGCCATGCTAATCTCTGTATCATCCCAATTTTAGTATATGTGCTCCCAAAATAAGCATGAATATAATATCTTCTTGAATCTCTCTAAAAGTATTAATTCAAGTTTTAAGTTGCCGCTTATTTTTAATTCTCTTCTGCTTATGTAATCTCTGTTTCCTTCAGGGTCACTTTTTCTATTTGATTATTCTTTCCCAGTCATAACTTGCCCTTCATCAGCCTGCCAACCCTCCTCTGTCCCACACACATTAATATATTTACTCTCTAGTTTTTCCCTCTTTTATTTTACTTTAATCAATGTCTTTCACATTCGTGCATATTAAATTCCAAAAGTTGTACATGCTCATGGTAACATGTTTAAAAACACAATATTTTTTTTTTAAAGATTTTATTTTTTTCCTTTTTCTCCCCAAAGCCCCCCGGTACATAGTTGTATATTCTTTGTTGTGGGTCCTTCTAGTTGTGGCACGTGGGACGCTGCCTCAGCATGGTCTGATGAGCAGTGCCATGTCCGTGCCCAGGATTCGAACCAACGAAACACTGGGTCGCCTGCAGCGGAGCGCGCGAACTTAACCACTCGGCCACGGGGCCAGCCGCAAAACACAATATTTTTTAAATAAATAATCACCCTCTGATCTCATTTCCTGAGGTAACCATGTTAAAGGCTTATTGTAGCATTCCTTAACTTTCTCTATATTTCTAGAGACATATAAAAACACCAATAAGCACGTATAGATATTTTATCTCCTTTCAAATTTGAGATCAGACTATATACATTATTCTACAATTTTTCCCCCTCTACACACTACAACATATAATGTACATCCTTTCAGGTCAATACATATGAGTCTAACTCATTTTTTCTGAATATCTGCACAACAGTCCTCAGAATGGGTTTCCATAATTTATTTAATCATTCATCTTTGATGGATATTTAGATTATTTTGAGTATTTGTCACTATGAACAAAGTTGAAATAAATATCCAATTGTATATGTGCTTGGATATTAGTACTTTTTTAAGGATATATTTTAAAAGTTTGAATTTTTTATATAAAAGGGGATACATAGTTTTTATTTTCTTATAAACATCTTTATTACATGTGTTTTTAAACACTCCTCTAAATACATTAGAAAGCTATTACATCCATTCCCTAAAGTAACACTCTTGTCAAACACTCACATAACCGTAGGTAATACATGTGGGGGGCTTTGTGGGTTTTTTTGGTTTTCTTATTGAAATATATTTGACATACAACATTGTGTAAATTTAAGGTGAACAATATGCCAATTTGATACATCTATATCTTATAACATTATTGCCCTTGTAGCAATAATTAGCACCTATATCACGTCACATAATTATTATTTCTTTTTAGGGATCAGAATAATTAAAATCTAGTCCCTTAGCAAGTGCTGATTATAATACAATATTGTTACATAGTTTTAATATTAGTAGATACTACTGTGTTACTCCCCCAAAAGCTGTGGCAATTCATGCTCCTAATTCATTGTGTTGAATGAATACAATAATATATTACATATTATATATATATATACCAACTATATATAATACAATGTGTATGTGTATGAATGAATGCTCATTCTCATACTTTCACCTACACTAGATCACATTAACTAATTTTTGCCAATCTGTTGGACAGCTCATTTTTGTTTAATTTCTCTAATAGAGAGATTGGGCATCTTTGATTAGGTTTGCTTACCATTCAGAATTCCTCTTCTATCATTTGTCTGTTTATGTCACTTGCCTATTTTTCTATTGAGTTGTTGACTTTTTCCTATCACTTCAGCAGAGATGTTTGTATAGCAGAAAAGTCATTTGTTGATGACATAAGTACAAAAATTTTCTTGCAATTGTATCATTTGTGTTTATTCTTTTTTTCATTTCCAAGTTTTCATTTTTGTGCAGTAATCTTTTCTTTTATGGATCCTGGCCTCCTGTCTTGCTTAAGAAGCTCACACCCTACCCCAAGATTTCCTACTGTCCAAATTTTCTTTTAACATTTTTGTAGTTCTGTTTTGTTTGTTTATATCTTTATTCTGTCTGAAATGTATTTTCACATATAGTGTGCAATAAGAATCTAGATTTATCTTTCCTGTTATAGAAAAGCAATTTCCACTTAAAGGACAAAAGAGTAAGTTGAACCAACAGCAAAGACTCTGACCTTCTTAGCCTGAAATTTAAAAATGAACTCGTGGGTCCTAAACTTTTCCTTACCAATTCCCTTGTAGGAACTCTAGTAACCAAAAGATCATGCAATGTAGAGATGACAGAATAAAAATTTTAAATATCACACTGATGTAGAAAGGGGTTAATTCTAAATGCTGAAAGTCCTTTGGAGGAGATCAAACCCACGGCAGACATCTTCCTTCATCTCCCACCTTCCCTTCTCCCACCTTTCCTTCCCCTTCCACAATACAGTTGCCATAATGTAGGAAATGTTTCTGGCATGCTGAGGATGCTCAGTAGTTGTGTTGGGCACCTTTCCTCCTCCCTTTGACCTGAGTTAAAGTGTCTCAAGATGACAGGTGGAATAGAACAAGTTAGGGAATCTGTACTTTGTAAGCTTTCTGATAATTATATTCTCTAGGTTAATTTTCCTGTACTCTCAGTAATCAGTTTGGTCTTTTCAACGCTCTTTTGCATCTTTTGCTAAGCTATGAAGACAGGTACAGCCAGGGTAGCTGTGGCAGCAGGATGGATGTCAGAGACAGGATCTCTTGGGGTGGGTCTGCCCCAAGCCTACAACACTCCCGTCTCCTGACAGTGAGTCCTACCCACTGCTGGTGCTTGACAGTTCTCGGACTTGTTTCTGTAAAGGAGAGTCTCCCCCTCAAAACCCCTCTCTGTCACCTGCTGCCCTCAGATGACAGGGAGCTGGAAACCCAAACACTCAGAACCATTCATGGTCAGCACCTTTGATACTTTTATTAAAGCAGCAGGTGGGCAAGATGGCTCAGCAGACCGCTGAGGATAACTGCCCACACCAGGCTCACAACCCTCCCTCTGACCTTCTCTTCCACCCTAGGGTGTGAGGGCTGAGGAGAATAGGGGCCAAACTCCAGGAAAGTATTTAACATCAGCTCTCTCTCTTTCTTTGCAGGCAGGACAAGGCAATTAGACAGGACAAGTATTAAAAGTCCCAAAGGGGGGAAGTGGTGTACCCACAACATGACTAACAATAATGTACAACTGAAATCTCACAAGGTTGTAATCTATCATAACACTAATAAAAAATAAAAAATTAAATTAAAAAAAAAAAGTCCCAAAGGGGGCTGGTGACAAGCCCATCTCCCCTCTGCCTCCACCGTCCCTCTTACAGACATCCACAGGATAGAGGGCAGGACAGCAGGGGTCAAGGGCTAAGACCTAAGGAACAGTAAGGCAATCTAGGCTCTAGGGGAGAATCCATACCAGCTGGGACCTCATAGTGGGAATGGTGAGGAGGTGGAGCAGAACCATGGACACCGTTGCTGAGAGGCTACAGAGACTATTCATCCAAGCAAATTGGGTTTTTCCACACACAGACCACCCTCACATCCCTCCAGAAGGTAGTGTGATGGTAGTAACAGTGTGAGGACAAGACTTTTGTTAGAGATTACATTGACTGATTTTGAAGGTGGTGAGGTGGCAGCTATAAAGGCCAGGCTTCCTCACACACCTCACAGCTGGACCTTCACAGAGGCCACCTGTGTTGGGAAACACACTATGGATAAAGGTCTTACTCTTCTTATAGCTCTTCTCAGTGGCCAACCCTGGAATCTTCATTATCATGTCACAGCATTCTTTGTACCTGCCAGAGACCTTTGCTTTGGGCCTGTCAACATGAGGATGGAGGAAGTCACGGGTCTCAGAGAAGCCAGGCTGGTCCATTAGTAGGAGCAAGAGGAGGGTCATTCCAGAAGCATGTCTCCTGTTAGAAAAAGGAGAAAGGTGGCAAAAAGGAGAAACTTACCTCCTAGCCCAGAACACCAGAACTTCATGTGCTCAAAGCCCCCTGCCACGGGATTACAAATGTTCTCTACTTGTCTCCAACACCTGCTCTCCTACCCTCATCCCAGAAAATCAGTGTAGTCCATCCACCTTTCAACATCTACCTTCCTTTCCTCTCTCAAGGCCCTCCTTCTTTTATTTCCTCCCATTCCACTGCTGGCACCCAGCACATTCTTAATTATTTTCCTTAAGACTACACTTATTTGAGAGGGGTGGCCCAGTGGTGCAGTGGTTAAATGTGCACGTTCTGCTTCGGCAGCCCGGGGTTCGCTGGTTTGGATCCCAGGTGCGGACATGGCACCGCTTGGCAAGCCATGCTGTGGTAGGCATCCCACATATAAAGTAGAGGAAGACGGGCACAGATGTCAGCTCAGGGCCAGTCTTCCTCAGCAAAAAGAGGAGGATTGGGAGCAGTTAGCTCAGGGCTAATCTTCCTCAAAAAAAAAAAAATACACTTATTAAAGAAATTGTGGTAGAGGGACCTGTTACTCAAAGAGGTAGGCACCTTCCACCCCTTTATGGTCTTACATAAGAGAGCAAAACTGAATCTCAAGTGATTTTTGATCCTCACTCAAGCAGTAACACTAATTTGTAGAGTGCTCTGCAGTGATGCTTTTAAAATTTTAATGTGCATCTGAATATCCGGGGATCTTGTTAAAACGCAGGTTCTGGTTCAGTAGATTTGGAATGGGACCTGAGATTTTCATTTCTAACAAGCCGCCTGGTGATTTTGATGCTGCTAGTTCTCAGGCCACACTTTAAATAACAAAGCTTTAGCATTTACAAAGACCTCTCACACATACAAAATTACCACTCTATCTGTGTGGTAAGGCAGGTATTACGGTAACTCGTTTTTAGTAACTGATTTTCAGGGAGGTTAAATGAATTGTCCAAAGTCATATAACATCATGGATCTGAACACAAATCTTAGAACCTCTGGGGCCAAGGAAAAGTCTCAAGTATGTTCCAACCTAGATTAATCCAGCAGCCTGCTATATTACATATCAATACAAAGCCCTTCCTTCGGCAACCTGCTTCACATCTGCACA